TAGAAAATAACTTAAATGAAAATGGATATGTATCCCCTCCCCCTAATTTCCGTTTCTAGAACCCCTCGCCGGCCTGTGACGTCATCGCGCTGAGACGTAGACGCCTAGAGCGGAGGCGCCTTACGCATGTCTGACGTCATGACGTAGAGCCTAGCAATAGCACAGGCTCCCGGCCGAGTCCGTTATGGCCACTGCCGCCTTGGGGAAGATGAGGGGGGCCGCGCAAGCGAAGCTGCTGTCCAGGCCGGGCATCCAGGCCCCTGGGGGGCTGGCGCGGCCGCTGGTCCTGGCGCTCCTGCTTGCGTCCGCTGCCATGTCCAGTGGTAAAGGGGGGCGCGGGAAGGCGGGGAGGGCCCGGGCGCGGGCCTGGAGACAGGCCGGGGCTGGGGAAAGGGCGCTTCCGAGTGTGCTGAGCAGACGGCGATGTCTAGCTGGGGCAGGGTCTCTACGGGCCCGAGGAGGGAGAGTATGGTGTGCGAAGGGGTCCAAGGTGGTAGGGTCTCCAAGGGGGCTGGGAAGTGGTGTTGAGAGAAGCAGGGACCCGGAGAGCAGGGTGCGTAGATGGGCGGGGAGGGAGGAGTGGTGGTGGTGTCTAGAGAGTCCTCAAGAATGGGCTGCCACAGGAATGGCGGTGGGGGATCTCCAGAAGTCCTTGGACTGGGGAGTTAGAAGAGTAGGCGGAGGAGACGGGCTGAGATGGCCGGGTTTAGGGGGTGTGGTGTCTAGACAGGGTCGCGGGGGGAGGGACTCAGGGGTCTAGCACGAGCAAGGAAGGATGGGATTATTCCAGGACGGGTCCGGTCAGCGGTAACGACCGAGGTGTGCAGGGGGAATGACCCAGTGACCGGACTGAGCTGATTATTTCGGAGAGTGAAAATAAAGGGAAAAGAACTGTATTCGGGTAGTGGTGCATCTCTGAGGTCTGGAGGTATTGGTGCTTGATGAAGATCCACATACTGGGACGTTAGACTCCTGATGGGCTTGGAAGGGGGAGTTTGGGGAAAAGGGAGATTCTTTGTAAACGTGGTTCTTCTTCCCTGTGTGTTGGGTTAGCTAGGGCAACCCTGTCTTATATTAATGGATCCGTAGGATTTGATTGTGAAAGGATTTTTGTGTGTGTGTGCAAATGTTACATTCTGAATCAAGATATTGAAGGCTTTATTAAGAAATGAGGAAATCTGTAAACGAGGGCCCGAGACAGTGGGAAAAGTCCATGAATAAGAATGTATTATAATTAAGTAGTATTTTGTTTAGTAGTTTCATTTTTCTTTCAGGCCAAGACCCTTTTCTCGCTAATTTTTTTTTTTTTTTTGATTTTGTATGAAAAACAGTGTGAACCAGGGTAGTGTTTCTTACTTGCCAACAGGGGCTGTCCAGCACGACATTCTACTACAGCGCTGTTGGTACATACTGTGTTTCCCCAGCAACACTTTAGTCTTGGTAACTGGACACCCTCTCCCAGAAGTATTTGCAAATTTGTGAGGACTGTGGTCCATTTTTCCAAGGTCCTTTCACCATTAGTAAAATGTAATGAGGATTTCCCTGGTTGGTGCGGATATCCCTGTTCCTAAAGTACTTAATTGTTTTGGTCATTTAATCATCTAAGAAAAAAATGACATTTAAACATTTATATTTCCTGCTGGAATGTTTAAGAGATATGGTTTGGGGGATCTATATCTGCTAATTATGGTTTTAGAAACAGGTTTTTCCTCTAAGAGGTGGTTGAAAATCTTGTGAATGGGGTAGAGGGCAAGTAAGTGAGCGGGAGTGTGGAGTATAAAGGTGTCTTTTTGCCTCTGTTTTTATGTGCTAGAGTTCTGTGAGTATTGCTCCAGCTATACTGGGACATTTTAAGGAAACTTTATCTTTTTAATTAAATCTTTATATATACTAATTTTAAATGTTATAAATTCAGATTATCCCCTATTGAAAATAACTTAAATGAAAATGGATATGTATGCTTTTAATAGAGGAGCAGCTTCATTGCAGTGCAATGTGGCATTTGTAAAGCTTGGGGTAATAGAAGTATTTTTTGTAAGTGTGCCTTATGGTGGAGTAATTTCAAAGTAATCACTCTTGTAATAAGAAAATTAGTCGAGAATGTATTGAGTTCCAAATTTCAAGTAAGTGTACAAAGTTAGAAGGTACCACATTAGATTTATTTAAACTTGTTCCATATTAGGTTTGTTAAAATTTAGTGCTTGGGTGTATTCTTGGCAGTCAGTAAAAATTTTTGTTTTATGTTTTTGTTTCTGTAAAGTTTCAAAATATTAACATAAGCATTTTGGACCACTAGATGACCACCTTATGACCAAGACTTACCATGCCACTTCAAAAGTGCCTGCTTCTCTACATTTGCCATCGTATTGTTCCCAAACAATCACCTAAATTTGATGTGGAATGCATTTAATATATATATATTTTTAAAGATGACCGATAAGGGGATCTTAACCCTTGGCTTGGTGTTGTCAACACCATGCTCTTCCAGTTGAGCTAACCGGCCATCCCTATATATGGATCTGAACCCATGGCCTTGGTGTTATCAGCACCACACTCTCCTGAGTGAGCCACAGGCAGGCCCTGGAATGAAATTAATTTTTAAGGCAGTGTTTCTCAAACCAGTGTGTAAATGAATTCACAGGGTTCTTTGCATTCTCAAGTTTGAGCAATGCTGACATAGTTTTATATTAAGGCAGTTTTTAAAAAGGGGCCAGTAGAAGAGGAGAATTAAATTTAGAAAGTGTTATTTTTAAAATGTTAAGTTTTTTTTTTTTTTTGGCAGCTGGCTGGTAAGGGTATCCGAACCCTTGACCTTAGTGTTACCAGCACCACGCTAAAATGTTAAGTTTTAATTAGAGAGGTAATATCAATTAGAAAAGGGTAGAGATGGAAGATTTATAAGTCTAAAGTAATGTATATGTTTGTAGAAGCTCAACAATTGAATCCATAAAGTCAGAGCTGTCACTTTAATTGTTCTGAATACTCTTTATATCTGACTGGATCGACTTCTCTGATTTGAAGGAGAGGAGGTCAAGGAGGTTGATCTACTTTACATCAGATGTTTCAGATGAATTCTTAGTTTATTTTCTTGTGTTGTGTTCGTGTGTTACTTATAAGTTTTTATTCCATAAACGGTACATATTCTGCCCCTACTTGGTGCTAGGTATTGGAGTTAAACAACGAATAGGGTGGCCTTGGAGGTATTCTTAGAACGAGTGGGGTTTTGCCTGTCTGAGAACCATGGGAAGGACTTTTCAGGCGGTGCAATAGGTGCAATGATGCTTCTTGGGATGTGCGTTGGATTTGTGGTGAGAGTTGGGTTGAGAGCACGTCCAATAAATGTTTTTTGAATGCCTGTTATCTATTAAGTAGGCAATGGGAATAGAGCAGTTGGGGAGATTAGTAAGAGATAATTAGAATGAGGTAATGAGGGCCAGATCATGTAGGATTTTGTAGGCTATAATAAAGACTTTGATTTTTGAGAGAAATGGAGAGCTCCTGGAAGGTTTTAAGTAGATGAGTGACATTATCTGACTTAAGTTTTCATAGATGCCTCTGGCTTCTGTGTTGAGCGTGGCAAGTAGGGGTTAGGGTGGAAGTAGGCAAATTAATTAGGAGGCTATTGTAATAATCCAGGTGAGATGATGGTGGTTTGGACCAGGCAGTAGTAGTAGAGGGGTGAAAAGCCTTCAAATTCTGAGTATATTTTGAAGGTAGAGTAACAGATTGGATGTGGGCTTTTAAGAAAATGACAACTCCAAGATTTTTGGCTTGAGTAACTAGAAAGTTGGAATTGCCGTTAACTGAGTTGGAGAATGTAGATAGAGCAAGTTTGTTTTATTTTTATTTTTGAGTGAGGCATAGAAATTCATTTCTTTAAATTAAACTTTTTATTTTGAGATAATTACAGATTCACTTGCAATTGTAAGAAATAAAATAGAGACGCTGAGTACCCTCTACCCAATTTTCCCCAGTAGTAACATCTTACAAATCTATAATACAGTACTACAACCAGGATATTGACATTGATACAATCAAGATACTGGGCATTTCCATCACCACAAGGATATCTTATGTTGCTTTTCTAAAGCCATCCCCATTTCCTCCTACCCTAT